CATCATGATTTTTGCAAGATATGACGATGGGTACGCGGCATTGAAAATACATGAGTAAATGAAGTCACAATGTCCTTTTGAACTGTTGCCTTGAGCCACGAATCCAGAACCGAAGGTCGTAAGTTCTACGTCAAAACAGACTTACTTATAGTGTAAAGATTGGCAAAGCCGCAAATGCAAAATAGGGTGAAAAGCGCAGCGAATCCTCCACAAACTCCGAAAAGAAGCCTTAGATTGACGAATTCTGACAAAAATAAGCGACTCATTAGGGAGCACACTTTTTGCATAACTTGCCTTGATACATCTGCTTCGGAATGTTCGGGCGTACAATAGGTATAAGATAGTCCTGAGGCGGATCCGTCGTTGAGTCTGGCGTTGAGAACTTGGAATCGAGGAGTACTGAAATAATAATTAAACAATAAAGCTTTACTAATTTCAATGCAGAGCTTTTGATGCATGACCGAAGATATCACGTCTTTCGGTAAAACCAATCATCTGTCTACTAATTGTCAGTTGTATCTATTATCAGTAACTTATGCTGCATATGCGGTTGCATATGACGAAAGCCAGCTCGTTCCTGGAACATCTTTCGTGATTAGGATAAGGTGGCTCTAGCAGACAAAATGAAGATGCGACATGCGTCTTGCATTGCAGGTGCTCAAATACCATGCAGCTGTGGCGTGCTCAAATGCTCCCCCTTCTCAGACAACTAGGATCGATATGGCGATGCAATACACCGTGAAATGCGGTCTTAGAGGGTCATGTGTTACTCGTAATGCAATTTTGGCTCTTAAGCACCGTCAATCACATATTGATACACACAATATTATTTCTTATATGTTGGTTATTGTAGGTCAATTGTATGCACGATAGTTCCCAAAGATGTTAACGCGGGATTAGGCTCTAGAAGTACGTGAAATATGATAGAACAACGAACTGTCTGTCTCTTTAATAAATGAATATCAACTGAAATGGAACACGGATGTATTTGAAAACCGCGATATCCTCTGCAAACTATTGACACAAAGAAACAGCAAAATGAGCAAGTCTAAACAGTCGGCTAAATGTTTAAGGCGGTTAGAGATCGACCAGCTTGAAGTCAAAAAACTTAATGAATTAATTCGATCTTATCGTTTAGTCTAAATTTAGTATTTATTTAAACTTTATAGCCGCTGGTGGGACGTTGACCAATGCGGCATTAAGGGGAAAATCCTCATCCTAAAGGTTTCCGTTATTTTTTTCTCATTTAAATGTTATGCAATATATTCTCGATATTGCAGCATAAATTCTGCCATAAATTCTGCTTCCATTGCAACTTATGATTTCTCTAAGAACGGATTTTTCAACGTATTATATCAGATTGCCACAAATCATATTTTGCTGTACCTCGGCTGTTTATTATCTTGGGTAAAAACATAAAATTTGTATTTCAGATTCGTCACCATTTAAGCATAACAAACGTTTGTAGAAAAGGCACCAAAATGCATGAAGATTGCGGCATATGAGGTTTCACTAGATTTAGATTTCTCAAATCTCTTATTTGGTAGGTTACAAGGCATTAATGTGGAAGTCAGATCATTGCGGAAACGTGATGCCCCAGTCCTTTGAAACATTCGAAATATGATGCTACAGACTGGTGAAAAATGGCTGCTCGAATGACATGCAGTCAAATGAATAGATCCTAAAGCGATTTTTCACTGAACATTGTGATACAAAAAAATATTCTTGAGCTAAACGCCGATATTTTTGTCGTATTATGAGAAGGCATGACGATAGTTTGAGTGAAAAGTGCTGTATGACTTGACCTCAACGTCAAGAGATAGACAGAATCTTACAATCAACCATATTACGAGCCATTCTCTCCACTAAAATGATACAAGTCAGAAGAAGTTGTGTCTAAGACATCATTATGCCGTTTCCTTAAGCCTTTCAGCAGATTCTGACAGATGGCGGTGATTAGCAAAAGGTCAGATTTAAACGATATTTTCGTATTGAGAATTTGAGCAGGGAGGCAACAACGGAGAAAATATGTATCAAGGAATCCGCATATTGTTTGCAGACACAAATGATCATCTACAAAGGCAGGACAATGCAGTGACCTGTGTAATTTTTACCAAAAAACATATTTCTTAGGGATAATTGGAAATATTTTAAATATGTGAAAGAAAAATAATTTAGGCAAAGGAGTACTGGAGCCATAAATTGCAAAGATAAATAGATTTATGACGTCTTTACGATCACCTTGATAATTGTGGTAAGGCCACAATGAGTAAACGTCCACTGCGACTGCACACCGAATGGCCTCAGCTCTTTGTCTAGGGATTTTCCAGCTTAATACCTAAAGATGAAATTTTTAAAAATGACCAAAAACAAAGGATAAATTGCCTACTTTGTGCATTTCGTAGTCGATCCAGTTGGCAAACGTTTGAAAGTTTTCCAAATTATATACTTTACTGCTGTTGCACAGGCCGTGTTGCTCCGTATATTTAGTTACGGGCCACAAATCTAGGAAGAATTAGGTAAACAGCGCTTTCATCAACATATTTTCGCCTCCAAGGGCAGAAACTGACATTTTTACAAACATTAAATGTAATTATGAATTTGTTATTGTTTATTACAATCTTATTTTGAGTGCAATACCGCTTCCATAGAATGTTCATTTTACTGATCAGCACGACGATGGCCGAATTTCAAGCATTGTTTATATACGTGTTGGTCTGCATTAATCTATCTTAGAATGTATATATGTTCAGTCAGAAGTAGCATGCCTGCAACAATGTGTGTGTGTGTCATAATCAATAAGCTCCACTGCATGGCCGTAATGCTCATCTAATGATGCTGAATGTACAGACACTGGACAGCAGGAGTCTTAATTTTGTTCTTGCTCTACTGCATCGGCGAAGGAGAGACATGTAAGCGACTGCAGGTCTACCTCGATTAGGTGATTCCAAATTCGATACTGATCGTGATTTGGATTGCAGAGTAAGATAGCTTGAGTGATTGATGATTTTTTATCCTCGTGTGTGAGATTGTCAAAGAACGAAACCCGTTGTTCAGTTCTGGTTATTACCTCTTGGTTCAAAACTTGAACATGCGGTATAAACAGACGACGTTCATCTGTTTTCAGCAGGGTTGCAACGAAACAGCGAATAAGTACTATATAACTGAGGTGACAGATGACACAATTAGTCGCCAACAGGAAGCTCTCATGAAGCCAGATCTTATCCAAGCTCTTAAAGCAATCTTTTTAATTCATCTCCATGTCGCAGCAGCTGTCGTTTGTGATAAAGCAGTCAAGGTATTTGTACTGGTCAACTTTATGCAATCTTTCTCCATGCAGAGAGAAATCGGTTGCTTTTGTTTCTTGTACCTTCCTATTCATTTGTTTTCTTCCGATTGTATCTAAGAGCAATTTTTCAGCGACAGTCTTAACCCCCTCCCATTGATAGATTTAGTCCACCTCTGGTATCGCTGTACAATATGATGTCGTGTGCGTAATCGAAATCCGCGGCGTTTATGGCAGGGTGCTTTGAGTTCCCTCCTCTGCTTAACATCAGTGCTTCTCCACTGAGATTGTTAACACTTTGCCTCATTATCCAATCCAAGAAAGCAAACAAAGATAATTGGCATGAGGACGTCGCCTCGTCTCTCGAGACTTCTGATTTCAAGCCGGTCAGATAGTTCGCTCTTTGTTTTCGTTCCAGATACAGCGTCACCGTACATGTTCTCATGCACTTCGCTAGATCAGAGTGGAATACGGCAATGCTGCAGAATCTTCCACATCGTGGGACAATGTGGTGTGTCGAACGCAGCTGCGAAGTCGATAAATGTTGACATCGGCAAAACTATTCTGCAACCACGCAGAGTGATCGCATGTTGTCAACACACGAATAGTCCTTTCTAAATCCCGCCTGGTTTCTTCTCACTCTCTTGTCCACCGTGAGACACTATGCCTGAAAGCTATTCATAAGGAGCAGGCAGACAATGCAATGCACACAGAAAAGATGTATATTGGTAATAACATGGGCAGATAGGCGGACGAATTAATGGATGAGGGCACAAGTATGAGTCTGCGATGTCACTACCAAAATGAAGAAATTACAGTAATCATGAGTAGGGCATGTTGCAAGAAAAATCTCCAATCGTTGGGTCAGAGAAACATTACGATGCATTTCAAGGAATAGTAAAAGGTCGGTAGGAAGACCGCCGCATCTGTGGCAGAATGAACTGAAGACATGCACCTGATCAAGTTAGATAAAAGTAGCAGAAAAAATCTATCGGGTATCTTCATCCAGCGTCGGTTCGAAAAGCCTTATCATAATGATGCGGAACTGAAAAAATCATAAATATCTGTTCAAATTTTATACAAAGTTTAGTATAAATCAAAAAATAATGTTACGACTATTTAGCCACTTTTCAGTTATAAAAGAGTTATATAACATATGAAATAGAAGGTGATAAAAGATTGATATAAATGTAAAAGTCGAAGGCTGTCGCCAGACGACGATCTATGAACAGAAGAAAATCTAGCTTCTACTTACATAATGGCACCACCGTCACTTGAGTGAACATCTGCACGTCTGTTTCGAATACATCCGCTTTCAGAAAGATGAAATCGTACGTTTTGTAACAGTCTCTCGGAATCGTTATATTGATCACCTGTCGTCGTCTGTCTAGCAAATGACGCGTCAAGAACTCGAGAGGTGGATCGGTCGGCTTCCAGCAACGCATGGTCACATCGAGGTTAAACGTAGCCAGATGAAGTGGATCGATCACGTTCAAAGCCAGGCTGATCCTCATGATCCCGTTTAACAAGCTTGGCGTTACCATAGCGTTGAAATCGTACGCGTTCCGTGGTTCTCTGAACTCGTGAAAATACATGTACGCTTTTCCGTCATCTGAATATGTTAAAATGTACGAAGGTCATAACCGGCGTTAACGCGATTTGCACATTTGGTTCATTTCCTTCATGTCTTAAGAACGCTTAAGGACTAATGTTTCTTTGGAGAGGGATCAGCGTAAAATAATGCTGACAGTTTACTCAGAGCTGATGATGAATCTGCGAGCTCCACAAGAAGCAATTATCAATTTGTCTTGCCATAAATTCTGCCCCTGCGAACATCTGCCGCCGCTCTTCTTTTCCGTGATCTGAAAACTTTATACTTCCTGCCGATACGCCGGTCGGCAAACTTCGGTCGACGGTAAACGGCTTGTCGTTGAACAATATGCAAGGAATATGTCGAGTAAATGAATGAGTGAACGCAAGAATCAATCAACCGGTAAAAGAATAAATAAATAAGCGAATCAAAAAACGAATTAGTGATTGAATGCTTCTTCTGAATTACCCTCATTGCAAATGTGCCACGATGTAAATCGAAACTTTTCTAATCTCCTGTATTGTTGAGTATTTTTTATGAGTAGGTGAACTATTGCCGGCCCTCTTACCAACCTTAATGCAGCCAAATCGTTCAGTGAAGAGGAGCATTAGGTTTAGCCTTGTTTTCATCTGTGCGGTAGGTTGCTCATTAGCAACATCCTTTACAACACCAGTTTGGAAAATTAATGAGCACCTTTAGTGACCGCTATGTGTTGCTACCCTGTGTTATAAAATAATTTAGGCCATACTGCCACCATCACCAATTCGCTTGATGTTATTAAAAAGTTGATATCCAAAACTAAGGGAACGAAATGGCCAAGAAATGTGATAGACAAAATCCTTAAGGCAAGCTTATCGAGATAGAGCTCGCATAAAATAA